TTTTTTTACTATTTAATTACTTATGCTAACATGAGAGGTTTAAATTAGGGATCATATGAGATTAAATAAAATTACACTAAATTTAAAAAAAAAAAAACATATTAGATTCAATGAGTTCAGACGAAGAGAACAAGCTCTTGCGGGATTCGATTGGATTTGGCATTGTACTTGGAAGCATGCTACATGTATTCCAAAATTTGTACCTCATTTGTACATCAAAGGTATGCACCAACATTTTGATGGTTCACAATGACACAAAGTGTTGGTGCATTAACAAAAATTTGCATTACATCAACATAAAATGTTGGTGCATCTCTGCGGTGTACAAAATGCGGTACAAATCCTTGAAGTACAAATAATTTTCCCTTTGTACTCAATTAAAAAATATTCGTATACTCAATTAATATTATCCAATCTAATAATTTATTTCAATATATCATTTTACAAAAATTCACGTCTTTAATCATTTCTCATTTTTATGCAAATTATATATTTATAATGTTATAACTCAAAATTTGTACATCTGATTTGTTCATAACACATATCGTTGGATTTTCTCTTCGAGACTTATCCATAAAATTTAGTTTTAGCAAAAGATTATTATCTTTAAAAATTCCTTCACTTTTTGGTAAAACAAATAAATAATACTTTATTGGGTCAAAATATAGTTTTAAAAATACTTTTATCATAGAATAACGTTTAGAACATGTTTTGGTGCATTACAGTTTTAATATATCAAATTTTTATAACATTAATATATTCAAATTATGTTTATTTTATGATTAAAATGTCATTGGTTGACCAAAAAAAGTCAAAATATGAAAAGTTTTTTATGATGGATGTAGTATTAATATGGTCACTATGTTCAATCAATAAATAAAATAAAGCAAAATAATACTAAATCACTACTCCTTAACATAATAAATATGTGACGAATGACTTGTTTAAAATTGCCAAATAAACTTGCACATGTCAAACTTCCGTGGGACGAGTCTCAAATATTATAGTAAAGGAAAAGGATAAGGATGTATCGTTGGTCACCATTTTACGAGATCTACCCAAAACCATTTTTTTTAAAAAAAGGTTGACTTTACAAATAATTCATATTTTTGAGCCTGAAATGTTATATTTATTTTTAATAAAATAACGGCTAACTACTAAGCCGATTTCCAAGTCGTAACATGTACAGTGTCGCATTACAATAGTGTAAATTCTTACATAGGGAATAAAAATATAAAACTCTTTTTTTGACACTCTCTTTATGTTTTACTCATATTTAGGGTGATTTATTTAGAAGATGTTCTATTGTAATTGATTGGTGTAGTCTTTTATGGTGATTTAGTGAAGGGTTGTTACATAGACTGAGTCCCGTAAACGTAAGAAAACTTTCTACAAACTACTCAAAAAATATTCTATGATGTTGACTGCTTTTTATTTTCTGCATTCATAACTATGACACGAAAGATGCATAGCACCTATGGTGCAAATGAATCAAATATTTTTTGTTCGATTCGTGATTTATATTCATATGAGGTGATTCATATTCGATTCTTTCAAATCCGAATACGGACATGAATTTGGATAAATATTTGAATCCTTATTGAATACGAATATGAATCAAGGGTATTCGATTCGTGAGTTTGACAAATATATTCGAAATATAAATTTAATTATACTACCTCCGTCCCGTGAAACATTTCCCCTTTCTTTTTTTATCCGTCCCACAAAACACTTCTCATTTCTATTAAAAAGTCACTTTTACCCCTTACTTTTTCATACCCTAACTATCACATCATACTTTTTTACTAATAATCTATCCATCAAATCATACTTTTACCCATCACATCAAAGGACATTTTTGGAAATTCAATACCAAAATACACTCCCTTAAATCCCTCCTAAAAAGCAAATGTCCCATGTTTCACGGGACGGAGGTAGTACAAATTATGTGTGTGTGTGTGTGTATATATATATATATATTCACATAATAACAAATAAATAGATTAGATGGTTATAAAATATTATAAAATCTAAATAAATGAATCGAATATTTTTGAACGAATCGAATATTTTTAAACAAATCAAATTTTTAAACGAACTGAATATGTTTAATATATTAAACGAACCAAATATGAATCTTAAAAATATTCGAACTGAATTCAAATTCGAATACCGCTTTATCTTAACGAATAGGGATATTATTCATGAATATTCGATTCGGTTCGTTTACAACCCTAATATCACCTCATAAATCCTTTTCCTGAATAATTTGTGTTGTAACATCTTTGTGACTTGTTTGATTGTTCATTTTGTTTTGTCAACTCAAATAATTAAGTTCAATGTCCATACGAGATTTGAATAATATATTAAATATAAATATCAGCGGGTGCTCATATTTATCAAGAAAAGTCGAACATACATGTTTATTACTCCCTCCGTCCCAAATTATTTGCCACATTTGCTTTTTCAACAATCGCGGGAACTTTTTTTTATTTCTACGTTTTTATTGGTTATTTGATAAAATAAAATATTCTTGACACCTCTTATTTTGAAGAACTTTTCATGTAGTTTTTTGATATGTAATTTTTATTTTTTATTTCTTTACCAATATGTAAATAAAATGAATTGAAAAAACTTGATATTTTGCCTCGGTAATAGAAATGTGACAAATAAATTGGGACGAAGGGAGTATTAGAGTGAACCATCATGATTCTCTAGGAAACATTCAAATGTTTGGAAAAAATAGTCCAATGTTACATCGTTTGGGTGTAAAATAAATGTCAGTCTAGCTTGATCGCTTTGTGTAGCTAGCCAACATAATGTGCAATCCAAAGTTACATCGGTAGAAACTATCAATTTTTTGAATGGAGAGTCGTAAACACTCCCAATCATGCTACATTGGTACATAATATCATTTGAACCACCCCATAACGTATTATAAAAACAGTAGTGTGCTCAAATGTGCCTCACAATTAGATGAAATAAAATTATGAACTATTTATGTAATATTTTAGATTTGGAGGATAAACATGGAAAACCGTGTATAATTAAGGATAATTTATATAATTTACTCAATTTTGTTACTCCCTATTATTTTTAGTTTGTAAAATGTTGCCGCAAGATTCTTATAATCTTAATCTTTTAAGGACAATGGTGAGGCTCGAATACTAAATGTAAAGAAGCTTGGGGCGAACTCCTTGCCCTCGGTAAGCCCTCTTATTCGGTCTCGCCCTACGTATCCTCATTGGCGGATCTAGGTTTATTAAATGGGGGGCAATTGCCCCCTGTCAATTGGCATGGCTAGTGTAGAAAAGATAAAAAAATTGCTCGGCTAAATAGAGTGCCCCCAGTCAGAAAATGAAGAGCCATGAAGAGCCCCCAGTCCATTTTTGAAATACCATCTCAACAAAAAAGATAAGTACTATAGGTGAAGGTGTTGGGCTGCCCACTACATGAGTAATTCCATATAATATTTCTTTATTTGAAAATTGAGTTTTTATACGGGAGATTTATTGGGTATTCATTTATATGTAATACATTTTTTTATTGTCCAAAGTTGTACTTAATATTTTTGATAATTTTCTCTTTTACTTTATATAAAATGAGATCATTTAATTGATTGTAGCTGGTTATTTAATATTTGTCCAAAAAGCTTCAGAGTTTTAAAGAAGCGATACATTGTTGAAAAAAATTGTTACATGTAAAATGCAATCGAGAAAATGTAGATTTTCAAAGCATTATAATTGAACTAAGATATAGATTGATGTATATTCTATAATATACTCGCTCCGTCCCAGAAAACCTTTCTCCTTTCTTTTTTCATCCGTCCCAAAAAACACTTCTCATTTCTATTAAAAAGTCACTTTTACCCCTTACTTTTTCATACCCTACCTATCACATCATACCTTTTTACTAATAATCTATCCATCAAATCATACTTTTACCTATCACATCAAAGGATATTTTTGAAAATTCAATACCAAAATACACTCCCCTTAAATCCTCCTTCAAAATCAAAATTCCCATGTTTTCCGGGACGGATGGAGTATGTTTTATTTGTCTAAAATTACTAAAATAATTTATTGAATTATTGATACTTTTTTTCATCACCTACTTCTGAACCATTTACACTTTTGTTACTCGGAGAAATTTATCATTAGATTTTTTGAGTATTTAATTTAAACTCTTTGAATATATTTTTTAATAAAAAATTTACTTCACAATTTTTGTATATTTTAAAATTCTCTTTAAAAAGATTTGGGCTAACGATGTCTAGAATCCCGTTCTTGACGTACGTACAGATGGTGCCCCCAGTCATAAAATTTCCTGGATCCGCCACTGCGTATCCTTGCATCCATTCCAATTGCGATGTCCAAATTTTGTTGAATTCGGGATAAAAAAGTTGGTTCCAAAGTCAAAAAATTCGAGGGTTGTAATTGACGGGTGCATGTCATGATCGGGTCAAATTGGAGGCTTACCAGGGAGTTAAAAAAGAAACCCCAATTCTTCAATTGAAGCATCTACGTACCTAATGTTATAATGTCATATCAAATTTTAATGTCAAAAGAACTACGGTAAAAAAGTAAGCTATTCTTATGTTGTGTTTGGGAACTCTAATACAAATCCACCCCTTTATTTATGTCATTTACAACTTCAAAACTAACTTTTTTTAAAATTTATAACTTATAATTAAAGAGTGATCTTCCTTCTTTACGCAACAATACATTCATACATATCAACCCGCTTCCATCACCGTCTTTACTAACTTCACAATTTAAATTTTAGAAATGAAATAATATGACTTTCCAAACTAGATTAAAAATTTAAAATTATAAAATTTCAAATATTAAAATTAAAATCTAAAATATTAAATGGATTCTAGTTATCAAATACTACCTTGCCTTTATATTACGGTACATGCAAACTCAAAAATAAAAAAAGATTGACATCAACCCTATTGCTCACCTATAAGGAAAGCATACCCGCATGTTCTCTATGTAATTTCCAGTATTTTTTATTTTTATTTTTTCCTGTAAATTTAAAATTTTCCCTCATCCCTGTTAAGAATTCCAAAGAGCATTTAAAATAAAAACGGAATATTTTATCAGGATCCGAATAGCCAAGAAATGAAGAGAATGGAGGAAACTTTGGGAAGAGAGATGAGGAGCACATCCTCTGTTTTTGTCTTGTAATATAAAATAAAAAATTTTGTATAATCATAACATTTATCTTCATATCCCTTCTGTTCAGATCTCCTTTTCGTCCAAATTGCCGTTCAGATTTCCTTAAAAATGGTGAGAATCCTTGAAAGATTGAATCTTTTCCTTTGCCGTTATTTGCTTGATGCATAAGCTTTCTATTGATCGTGTCCTGCTTTCTGTTTTGGCTCTGATCTATGTGAATTATGCATTTCATAGTCAATGGATTGAAGTTTTGATTGATGCAACAATGATGCGACATTCTCTGATTGAATCCGACGTTTCTTAGTTGGCTTCTGATCAAAATCTGCGACTGAGGTCTGCCTGATTTTCTTGATAAGGTGTGATATAGATTCATCACTAGTCTCTTTAATTGTCAGCACTGGATCTAAACATCATCATTTCTCAGGATGGATCTATGCAAATGCTGGGTTTTATCCTTTTTTGATCACTTGTTAATGTCTTATGCAACTAAATCTGACTTTGTTTATTTTAGCTGACTCTAGCATTCTTCAACTCTTTCATTCTAAGAATTATGACTTTGTATTGCCATTTTTTTGTTTTTGTATTCTCGGTGAAGATGACTGGTGTCTGCCATGAATTTATATTTGTAGAAATGATGGAACCGGATCTCGGTAAATTATTCATTGGTGGAATATCTTGGGACACAGATGAAGACCGTCTTAAGGAGTATTTTGGATCGTATGGGGAGGTGGTGGAGGCTGTGATCATGAGAGATCGCAACACTGGTCGTGCTCGAGGTTTTGGCTTTGTGGTTTTTGCTGATTCTGCAGTGGCTGAACGAGTGATCAAGGAAAAGCATATGATAGATGGAAGAACTGTAAGTAGTTTATGATGCTGGTACTCTCCACAAAAAATGAGATTGAAATGAAACTTGATCTAGTCTAATGCGTTCAGCTTTAGTCTACTGAAAGTTGATATAACTTGGATGCCGGATTGAAATTATGTATAGGGGTTAAGTGGTTGCTTATTACCTTCTGTCCCCTATAGTTAATGAAATGAAGCCTTTGAAACCATCTTTTTTGAAGTTAAAGATATCATTGTATTAACTACTAATTTCATACACGATGTGGGAGTCTTGTGCACTCAATATGACATGTGTGATATACTATATATGTATATGTCTCAACAATTTTAGGTTTCATGCTTGTTGTAATGGGTCATCATCTTCATTTCTTTACATTCTTTATTTGGCCTTTTATCATCAGGTTGAGGCAAAGAAAGCTGTTCCTAGGGATGACCAAAACACAATTAGTAGAAACAATAGCAGCATTCAAGGATCTCCGGGTCCAGGTCGCACTAAAAAGATATTTGTGGGAGGGCTAGCCTCCACGGTTACCGAGAGTGACTTTAAGAAGTACTTTGAGCAGTTTGGTACTATCATGGACGTGGTCGTGATGTACGACCACAACACTCAACGACCAAGAGGATTTGGGTTTATAACTTACGAGTCTGAGGATTCAGTGGACAGGGCATTGTATAAAACCTTTCATGAACTCAATGGTAAAATGGTTGAGGTGAAGCGTGCAGTTCCAAGAGAACTTTCTCCCGGTCCCACCCGGAGCCCTCTGATTGGATATAATTATGGTCTCAGTAGGCCCAACAACTTCCTCAACAGCTTTGCACAGGGATATAATCTGAGCTCAATCGGAGGGTATGGTGTCAGGATAGACAATCGGATCAGTCCAGTTCCCAGCGGTCGCACAGCATTCTCTCAAATCCGTAACCCTGCTTATGGAATGAATATGGACCCATCATTGAACCCAAGCTTTGCAACAGGTTCCAATTTCAGTAGTAATGTTGGTTATGGGCGGGTTGTAAGCCCATACTTGAGTAGCAATTCAAGCAGATACAATACTCCCATTGGATATGGCACTGCCAGTAACCGCAGTGATTCCTTTTTAAGCTCACCAACAAGGAACCTTATTGGAGGAAATGGGGGTCTTAACAGTTCAATGGCTCTTGGCAGTCCGGGTTCATATTTGGCTTCGGGTGGTTTTGGAGTATTTGGAAATAATGGAGCAACTTGGGGGACTTCTATATCTGCCGGGAATTCATCACCCTATGCTGGTGGGAATTTCGGATTCAGGAGTGGGGAGAATAGTTATGGGCTTGGTGGAGGAATTGGACGAAATAATCCCACATCTGTAGCCACAAACTCTTCATTTACTACACCTATTGGTGCATGTGAAGGGTCTTATGGGGATTTATATCGAAGTGCTTCTGCGTATGGAGATCCAACATGGCAAGTTATGTCTTCCGATACCAATGGTTCTTTTGGATATGGGCTTGGGAATCCAGGAGCTGCCGCTGCCAAAGACTCAGAAGGTTATGTTGGGGCTTATAATATTGCAAATAGACAGACTAATAGAGGTAACAATGTTCTTTCGTTTGCATCATTAATCCATATGTGAAAGGTTATTCGGCAGTATTAGCACAGCACTGGAAATATTGAAAGAGATGAAATTTAATGATGATAATATTGGATTGAGTATTAAATCAAATATTTAAAATGCAATGTAAATAATCTTCTGAAGAAATTTTAAACTTTAGGCATCAGATTTTGAAGTTCATATTCTTTCAAGAGTACATTATATATCTTGTGCTCTACGCCTGTGATCGTGACTGTGTATGCTAAGTGATGACCCCTGCAAACAGATAAACAAATTAACCGAAGTTCCTTCAGCAAAGTCTCACCCTTTCCCCTTCTCCATTTTAGCATGTGATCAATGACTTTTGCAATCATTTGGCCATATACGAGTACTTCTTTCCATATGTTTTCAGAACTAAGGCATAAGTTATATAGGCATGACTCATGAGAATGATCTAGGCACAAATGAAGGATCGTTCTCAACTCTGCTTTTGTCAGCTTGTGCAAATGAAAGTTCATTACACCATCTTGTGAAAAAAAAGATATTTATTGAAATCTCAAAATAATCCAAAGAAAATCATTTTATAAAAAATCATTTCTAGAGGAAATGAATATTACAAACATGTAAATCCACCTTAGATTTTTCCTAGAGGCCATAATCACTGAATGTGGCTCTTCTCAATTAGGTGTGTTACCTTAATCTTTTCCTATATAGTCAAGTTTCATGATTTGCATGTTGGTTTTAAGAATATCAAGCTTGTAATGAACATGTCAATGACCCCCGAAGCTAGGAGTGGTAGAGATGAGGTGATTACCGAGACAATAGATAGGAATGTCTCGAGGTCTAGGAAGAGGGTGGTTGGGTAGATCATTGAGCCTAAGTTTGTAGTTTATGCACGGGTCCTTTTGTGCCTAGTTTGTGGTTTCTGCATGCGTGATTGGTTTTGTATGAGTCATTTCTTTGTTCGTGCTACTTTCCTTTGTCAAAATGCTTCTATGTTTTGAGCTGAGGTCTTTTGGAAATAGCCTCTCTACCCTCTAACTAGGGGTAACATTTACCTACACACGCTCCCAAGACCCTACCTCATGGTATTTTATTGGGTTTGTTCTTATCCTCTCTTCTTTTACCCCCACTATTTTATTACGGAGTACAACATACTTCTCATTCTTATCCTATGTTTTTTGTTTTTAATCCAGGTTATATATGTATCATAGAGTAATCTACAAAAATATTTATATACTTCTGTTTTTCACACAAAAAAAAAGGTTTACTATATATACCAAGATACACACACACACACACACATATGTACACTGATTTCTTGTGTTCTTGCAATACCATTCCAGGAATTGCAGCATAGCAGGTGTCATTAATTGGGATGTATGGAGAAAACATTACTAGTAGAGACATTACCGAAATGGGCATTGAAGTTTTACATACACATTCCTCCTCGCAACGCACATTTCAGGAAATAAGCAGAACTGATCACATATAGAGGTAACGCGAATCTTGTCAAAGAGGATGAAAGCATAGATGTTCTGATATTGGGAAGAGTTTGAAGGGTTTTTCATGCCAAGGCGCGTTTAAGGTTTCACTTTTTTTTTCCTTCCTTTCTTTATATTACAAGTGGTTGTTTAGGCCCCCATTCTAAGGGGGATTTAGTACTTCTTCTATATATGACGTGCTGTGTGTGTACCGATCCCCAAAACCGAACGAGTACCACTGGTACTCCATTGAGAGGTAGAGTTTGTTTTTTGATTGATCGATGCATTCTTTTTTTCTTATTCTTCCTTAAGAACATCTTCTGTTCTGAGCGACAATCTCCTTAAATGGTTTTTTTTCATCATCCTATATTCTCAGTCTCTCTCAGTTTGTGTGAGATGCTGCTTTGATTTACTGGTGTGGAGCAATAGAGGGATACCATGTAAGATCATCCCCCCACCCCCACCCCACCCCACCCCACCCTATCAATAAACTATTGTAATGTTATATTCAAACTAATAATATATTGTGTAAACAATATAGTAATGCCTTCTTTGAAATGCGTGGCCGATGTCCACTTCTCTTGTTCCTTTCTCTGTTAGAGAAGTGCAGGTTAGCTACTCATAAGAATTTCATTTTGGTTATAGAAAGAATAAACAGAGTTTTTCAAATGGTTTCTTTTACACCTTTCATCTCAAAAAATATTTCCGCTGGAGTAGTTTTCATCTGTTTTGAAAAACACTTCTATTTTCAATTAAAATCTCCTCTTTACCGCTATTGATTATTAATCTGCTAATAACATAATATCTTTCACTAATAATTTATCAATCACACATTATTTTATCTTATAATAATGTAATGACAAAATTGAAAACTAATACAGAGTACTAAAATTATACATTCATTAAATCTCATCTTTTCTTAAAGCGGAAAGGTTTTATTGGACAGAATTTTTATGGAAAAAGTGCATTATTTACCTCCAAACTATTCAGAAATTGTACGGTTTATTTCAAAATTTTAAAAAATGCACCATTTACCCTTGAACTCTTTGAAAATTGCATGATTCTCCCATGAACATTAAAAAGTGCAATAAATACCCTGAACAATTTAAAACGTTGCACTGTTGATCCTAAAATACTAGATAGGGAGTGTGTTGTTCCAATGCACAGGAATTGTGAGTATGATTCATCTAGCCTTTGTTAATTCCCCAAATTGCCCTCCTCCAAAATTATCTTCTTTATTTAACACAACCATAGTAGTTGTTGTTCATCCATCGAGGATCGTCGACCATGGCATCTTCATCGTCAAATTCCAACCGCATTTGACAAGGAGACAATTTGAAGCTATCTCTGATGGTCAAGTCTGACTTAGATCTACGCTGTGATACAGTCATGTATGTTGTGCCTCATTCAATCCACATAGTGATTGACCGTGAGAAATAATGCAATACCATCTTTTTCTATATAGTGGAACAACTTGGATGGCTTACATAGTATCTGGCCAAGTACCCTATACTCGAAATGATGCAAGCGTGCAATGCTTTAAATTTTTTTTGAGGTATTTGGTATACTTTTTAATGTTCAAGGATAAATCGTACAATTTTTGAAGAGTTCGAAGGTAAACAGTACACTTTTAAAAATTCAATGATAAGCCCTGTAATATAATTTTCGAAGAGTTCGGGAGTAAAGATTGCATTTTTTCTCAAATTTTTATACCCGGAGTATAGTGTATTACAAAAACGTAATCCTACTTCATGTTACATCCTTTGAATTCTGTCACATTCACAAAAATTAATCTCATCCCACCTCATTATTGTTGTACGTGACAACATGTGGGTGTGAGAGATGAGAGTGATACTTCCTGCATCCATTCACTTTCTTTAAGTGTTGCAGACTTCCACTACATATTTGGCAATATAATTATATATCGGTTTTTGTATCGTACAATTTAGATGTAGTTTTTAAATATATACATTTTATTTTTTAATACTACTTCCGTCCCAGTGTAATTGTCCAGTTTGACTTTTTCGAGTCAAACTGGACAAACTTTGAACTCCAATTACTCTTAATTTATATTCCATATTAGCATAATGAAATATAATTTTGAAAGTTTTCAATACGATAAATCCAATTAAGTCATTTTTATGTTAAAATACATTATGGTTTTCATTTAATTGAAGCTCAAAGTTTATCCAGTTTGACTCGAAAAAGTCAAACTAGACGACAAATACACTGGGACGGAGGGAGAATTACCTTAATTTTTAAATAAAATTAGATACGGAGTAATTCATAAGGAAGAGATGCCTTTCAAAGAATGGTCATGTCTCTTTACATCATCTCCTACAATTAAAATAAATTTTGCAATGGATGTGAACACTAAATATACGCAATGGAACACTAAATAGATTTTACATAAGACGTGCAAACTTAGAGACAATACAAATAAGACCGACTGTTAAATTTAAACAAATACATCTCTCTAAATAAGAGTAACATGGAACAAAACTATCAAAATATATAAGAGGTGACATATTTTAATTATCTAAATATGAGTGTGATGGCAATGTGGTATAAAGGTAATTGCATTATGATAACAGTGCAGACGGAATTTTTTTTAAAAAGTTAATCGGTTAACCGTTAGTGGACCATTGGTCAACGCAGCACTGAGGCGATCGACCCCACAACAATAACAAAAGAATTAGTTTTAAGGAAAGAGGCCACAATCGTAGTTGGGGAGTAATTGTTGATTGAGCAACCCAAAGTATCGATCCCCTCGCGCAGCTTGGTTACGACTCTCGTCAATGAGATTGTAAATGAAGTAAGCAAGAATCCTAGAAGGGGGCACCTTAGGTGTGCCCGGACGGTTCCGTACATGTCCCAGGTAATTCCTAATGTACGCCGCCGCCAATTCGGGGGAGGCAAAGTTGGGTGCACCGGCGTGGGGCCACCCGCTCTCCGACACCACGATGTCGAGGCCTTTGACACCGGCGTCCTCTATGGCCCATTGGAAGCCATCCACCGTGGCGTCGAATAGGTTGGTGTAGCCAAATGGGCCGTCCTGAACCACCACGGTGTCTGGCGCCGTGAATAGGGCGTAGTCGGCGTGGAGAAACTTGGGGTTATAGTAGTGTTCGTAGTAGGGGAGGACGTTGAGTAGGACGGGCGCGCCGTGGGCTTGTAAGTGTTGCAAGATTGGTGCCATCAGTGGCTTGGCTTCGTCTATGAATGTGGTTTGTGATGGGTACATTGTGCTGGATTTTAATGAACCCATGTTCAGTGCCGTCGTTACTTTGGTGTTCTGCATTCAAATCATGAGATCAGATTGGAGACTAATTTTCTGATCTGATCTGATTTTAATAAGTTCTGATTTGATCTGGTCTGATCTGATTGGATTTGATCTGATATAGTATGATCTGATTAATTATGATTTGATTTAAAATTCAAATCAATAATAATTTGATTTGATTTTATAATAACGTTTGAAAATTGTAATGATAATTCATATTATAATATAATTAATATTTTTTATTTTATGATTATTTTTTAATAAAATAAAATTTGTTAATTCATATATTAGAATAATCATTCATATTACAATGTAATACTATTTTTTATTTTATGATTATCTTTTATGAAATTAGAATATTAATTTAGTATTTCAAAAATTACTTCATATATATATTAGAATAAATATTTAATTTATATATACATCAAAAAGTAATTAAATTTAGATAATCAATACATAGAAGAGATAGTATTTCTATTAAAACATTTCATCTTTATAAAAGATCAAAACTTTAGAAACTCAAATTACATGTAGCAATAAAAATGTATTTTAAAAGTAGAATTAGATTGACATTGTCAATGTTTTTAAAAAAATTCTTCCCGACGTCTAATAATTAAGGATTACTTTCTCAGTTTTCAATTTAATTTGTTTTTAAAGTTTATTCTTTTTCATTTTAAGAATAATAATAATAATACTGATAATAATAATAATAATAATTCTTGATGGATCTGATCTGATCTGATTCGACCTGATCTGGTCTGATTTGATCTGATTTTAATAAAAATAAAAAAAAATAAGAAAAAATAAGTTGAACGGAATGGAGCCTGTATGTGGAAAAAAAATATTTTGTCATATTTTGCTTAAATAACAAACATTCAAGAAAAGTTGGGTAATGAAGGAAGTAGAAACTAAACTTGCCTGGAGAAAGGGGAAGCGACGTCGATGAAGAACGTTGTGTACATTACGTATGGCACCAAGAAGGAACTTGCCGGAGGGGCCAGGCATAACCTCGTTGCCGACAATAATGTAGGGAATTTTAACGTTGTCGAGGAAAGGCACGACTTTGGTGTCGAACCAGGCCTCCACCGCGGCTTCGCTATCGGCTAAGCTGGGGAGGTCAGGATTGTCGATGCCAAGGAGGAGCTCAATGCCTGTGCCGCTGAGTGCCCGAAGAAGATACGGCAAAGGTGCGTAGGTTCGCATTTTGGTGATTCCATACTTTTTGTATATGCCCACGATTTTATCCGAATCGGGTATTTCGTAGCAATTGAAGCTGTAACATACTCCTACGTGACTAGGTAATTTGTGCACTTGTGCTTCTGTGCAAGTCGTCGTGTATGCGATTGAAATGGCGGTAGCTATAGAAAGAACAAGTAGAAGATGTGATGAAAGCTTGAGAGTTGCCATCTTAATTAGTTGTACAAGAGATATATATATATGGTGATCTGAGGTAATGTGGGTATTAAATATGGTACTTGTTGGGTTCATGTGGGAGTTTATTTTATTTTAGGAATGAAAAATAAAATTTCTGTAAATTGAATAAAGAAAGTATAATGTGAGTATCGAATGTGAATGGGAAAAGAGTAAGAAGAGAATGGAGTGTGAGTGTAGTTGGCGCCGAAGGGTAAAAAAAGATGAAAAAGAGAGGAAGAAATTAGGGGAAAGGGAGGAAGAAAATTGGAAAAGGTGAAAAAGATGTCTTCGTGCTTGTTTTCATTCATTGTGTTCCCATGGAAGAAATTAGGGAAAGAATATTTTTAGAGGATTTCCTATGTAAAAATAGTGTGTTCATCTTTTATTTCTAATTTGCACAGTTTTGTTCCTCCCAATTTTGTTTTTGATAGTCTATTGTGTTATAATTGTTCGATTATTTTTCTAACGCTCTCGATGTAATGTACTCCGTAACTAGCTATACAAATTCTTTAATATCCTCAATCTCATTTATGATTTATAATTGAGAGGCGGGTGCGTGCTGCATAGTTGGCAAATGTAAGGAGTGTCAATAAGTAAGATTCGATAAGTAAGATTCGAGTTTGATTTCTAGCAAGTGTGCTGGGAGACAATTATACTAAGCAAAGAACCTCTGCAATTCAAGTATCAGGTGTAAGCTCCACTTTTTGCTAAGAATCTGTGATTTGAAAGTTTAATTGATCTCCTTTCAGTCACAATCCGGTTGGGTCTGAAAGTTGTCTCAGGAATGATGCTCATCTTTTTTTAATTTATGGCAAAGCTTTACTATATTATCCTTCCCTCCCAAAATTTTTTTATTGGAATGCTAAGGGTACACTAAATGCTATGGGTGTGCACCATGCATCTTCATCCTCCCTTGTTTTCTTTTTAAATTGTTTTTCTCACTTGTTTTTATTTGGTGGGGATGGAGCGAGGTATAAATGTGTACACCATTTGATGTGTAATACTTAAACATACTAACGTCATGTATGACAATTGTAAGAATATGATTGTAGTCTAACATGATAATGGGAGCATTAACTGAAATCGTGGTGATTGTATATTTTATGGTCAAATACAGCGAATGAAAGCAAGAAAAATGAGCAGCAGCCAAGCAGGTTTTTTTTTTGTAGTCTCATAGATGGACAGGCGGGGTCGGTTCCATCTTTTTTAAATTTTTAATTTTTAATTTTTAAGTTTACAATTAATTTTTAGCATTAAAAGTTGTCCCTATCATTGAATCTTTATGCTTTTGATTTTTTAAACGTATTTTACCTTTAAAAAAATTATTTATATGTAAATATAATTAAGCTACCCCAAATTTAATAATCCGTATAAAAAATAAAAGTGGTTGCGAGGATGGTGGCGGTGCAGCCGCGGAGTTGGTGTGGCGACGAAGAGTGGTAGGGTGGCAGCGGATTTGACAATGTGAAGTTGGTAGTGTGGCGGCATAGTAGTGTTAATGCGGCAGAAGAGTTGGCAGTGAGGCGGCGTGGTGGTGGCAATGTGACGGTGTAGAGTCGTAGTATGTCGGTGGAGTATGAGAGTATGAAATTGTTATTATTAAATAAAGGAAAATTTGTCACTTTACTACAAAAATACTCCCTCCGTCCCGCTATATTCGTCCACTTTTGACTTTTAGAACTGTTTATCTAAGCACTTTGACTCATCAAATTCTCTCAATGTGTAAGCCTAAATATAGTCATGTGTGATCTTGTTTGATTTGTCTTAACATATAGATTATTAATATATAATTTCTATAATTTTTTAATACACAAATTATAAGATAAAATTATTTAAAGAAGTGTATTAGATGATGTGTAAAAATGAAAGTTGACAAATACTCTGGGACGGAGGGAGTACCACGTAACTCACATTTATGTTTAAAATTTCTAAAGTTCTTATTTTTAATTTATATCTATTACCCATTTTACTACCATTCTTAAATTATCCTTCTCCCTCAATATCTGAATCAAAATATAGTTTTATTATTTTAATGTTAAAGAGTATCACAATTTGGAAAAAAAAGTTAAAATTAGACATTAACTAGTATTTTAATCCGTGCCATGCACGGGGTGGTATAAAATTATTTGTGATTTACAAATTACAATATAATGTAGAGTATTAAAATGATTTAGCTTTTCTATGAGACATATCATTTAAACATCAAATGTAAATGATCTAGGTTTATTGAATTTATACAAATCTATATCCTTTCTTACCGTATAAATTAAAAAATATAAAAAACACTAGTGATTCTATTAGTCTTTTTCCCAGCATAAATTTTTAAAAAATTGAATTACGATCTTATGATTCTACGATTAAAAAATCATGATTTTTCTTCCCCACATTAATTGAGATTAGCAAAAAACGGTTCCCCCCACCCCTCCATTGAATACAAAAATAAATTCATCTCTACCACATTATTTAAAAATAAAATCTTAGTTTAGCAATCCTAGGACTCTATGATTAAAAATATTAATTTGAAAAAAAATTACAATATAACCATTCTTCTCCAACATCAATTTTGGAAAAAAATATTAATTGAAAAAAGTAGTGCTACAATGATTCTGAAGGAAAAAAGAGAAAGATTAAAATTGAAATACTTCCTTATTTTTAACTATAAGGAAGGGCAAAATTGGAAATCAACTATAATTTTTAACTATAAGGAAGGGCAAAATTGAAATAATTCTGAAGGGCAAAATTGGAAATCAACTATAATTTAACACTTCCTTATTTTTGTCCCCAAATCAAATGGGAAGGGTTTTTTCAAACGGATGGAGTATAATATAAGAAAATAACCAAAATAGAATCTTTTAACACGATTGAATGATGACAGTATATACACTCGACTGAATGATCAAATTATATATAGTACTGTTTTCTCTGTTTAACACTGTTATAGTGCAATCAAATTTTATATTTTCTCTGTTCTAGAGTATATTTCGTATTCAACAACGTGCAAAATCTCATAAATTTTAAAATGATTTTATTTACAAATAAAATAAAAAAAATACATATTTAAAATAATAATAACTATAATGACAATAGTAATAATAATAATAATAATAATAATTGTAATAATAAAAATAATAATCGTAATAATAGTAGTAATAATAATATAAGCATTAAAATTAATTATAGTAATAATCATTTCAATTTAAATTAAATTTAAAATTTTTATTATAATAAATATACTAATAGTAATCATAATATAAATATTAATAATAATAATAGAAATAATAATAATAATAGTAATTATAATATTAGTAATAAGAATAGTAATAGTAATAACAACTATAATGATGATAATGATAATAATAATAATAATAGACATATTAATAATAATAACAATAATGTAAAAACAATAGTTATAGTAATAGTAATAGCAATAGTTATAATACTAATAATAATAATAGTAACTATAATAATAACAATAATAATAATTACAATCATAATAATAGTAATAGTAATAATAGTAACAACAATAATAATATGAATTGTAATAATAATAAAAGTAATAATATTAATATTAATATTAATAGAAATATTAATTTTAAATAATAATAGTAGTAGTAATAATAATAATAATAATAATAATAATAATAATAATAATAATAATAATAATAATAATAATAATAATAATAATAATAATAATAATAATAATAATAATAATAATTTTGTATAGATCTAACTTGATTGGATTTGATTGGATCTGATATGATCTAATTCAATCTGATCTAATCTAATTAAAAAATTTAATTAAATCTGATCTAATCTAATTTTAATAAGAATAAGTAGTAAAGGAGAAAAAATAATTTGAAATCTTCCACAACTCCCACAAGGTCCTAATTGTCCCATCAGTAAGTTGTGTTCCGGTGGTCAGTTGATCGGGAAACGCGATACCGGGACCAAGCCATAATATCCTTTCACCTTTCGGCTATAGTGTCTCTGCAAGTATGAATCTTTCCGAATTTATTACTGTCGATTTTCCTCAGGGGTTGATATTTTCTTTCGTTTGGAATTTCTTTTTTATTGATATGTTCATTACGGAGTATCTCTATACCTGGGATCAATTGTTGTTCATATTTATCGGATCTGATCTCACATATGTTTGGATTGTTAAAATATTACTCGCTTACATCATCAGAATTTTCTGCAGACAGCACCTGCAGTTTGAATTCTAGAAGCGATGGGGTTTTTGGTGACGACTCTTGTGTTTATTGTGATCGGAGTTATTGCGTCTTTGTGCTCCAGAATTTGTTGCAATAGAGGGCCTTCCACTAATCTGTAAGCTCAATATGTTTCATACGATGCGATCTTCTTCCTAATTAGAATCCTTTCTGTGTTATATTTTTACAGATTTTATTGTTTGTTCATTCTTAGCTTCTCAGCATCTAGTCAACTTTAAATTCGAGATTTTTAAGCCAAGTTCTACTTATTTTCTACTCATTACATTATGACCCCAATTCCACTGAGGGATCAAAATCGGCTTCACCTAGTCTATAGGAGACTTGAGGTTCAGCTTTCACTTGCTGGCAATTGAGATACATGGTGACATGATATGATATCTCTCTCTTCATACCTGGCCACCAATAATGTTTTCAGATCACTATACATTTTAGTGGTATCTGTGTGCATAACATGCGGACTCTTAGGCTGTTTGCCATTATTTCTACCAATCGTCATTCCTGAAAAGCTACACTACAGAACGTCGTTTTGGTAAAATTTATGTAATTAGTTTTCACTTGACATTTGAAGTAAAATATGGTAGAAATACGCTGGAATCAGTTTTTGTGTGCAAGTTGAGTAGAAAGGCAATGGCGAACACCCTCATTATGTCTTTACAAAACAACACCAAACTACGAGAATAACCGCATTTTGATCCCAAGTTCCCAACTCAATGAAATAATAAAATAATTTGATGTTTCCCCTTGATTATTTGTCAACTTTCTTCCTAAACATTAGAATTGAATTGACTTTATGACTTGCATGGGCCTAAAATTGTGCTTTCTTGTGTAGGTTTCACCTGACGTTGATTATCACCGCAACGGTTTGCTGCTGGATGATGTGAGTGTGATTTTTAGCTGAATTCTTTTGGTTCATATAATCACATAAATTTCTTACAGTAAATTTAGTTGACTTACATTTCTTCCATAAATATTGGTGGAAGAGGGATATATACTCTAAAGTGCTCAGGAAACTGGAATGCTCCCAGTTTTTTTGTATAATAAAAAAAGACTCTTTGATCACCACTCACAAGTTGCTTTATTTCCCTTTCCATGGATTCCCACATTTATGATCATTGATTAGGTTTTTATAGCATCTTTGATTTTATGTCCATGTTTTTGTTCGTTTGGTATGATGTTTCATTATTTCCTTCAAAGAATGTGTGTGGCAATGTTATGTTGATCAGATGTCCACATCCCTGTTTGGTTGGTTAAAATAATGCAAGCTCCGTATGAATGCAATCCACTCGCCCATTTTTGTTTTTCATTTGACTTATCACTGTCATTGTTTCACTTTGGAACGGGGAAAAACATTTATGTATTTTACGGTGAAGCACGCTTCTTTTAGCGAAGAAAGATATGAGCTAGCTGCTGTATTGCCCTAAGCTTTGCATGCTTGATTGTGGAATTTCCAGTATAGCAAGTTGGCATACTTTGTCATTTGGATATGCATCACACTCCAAGTGAATTAGCTCATTTTAAATATAGGTTCTTGATGGTCTTTAGATTTGTAGTACATGCATTTTACTACTCTGGTTTGAACTGTCCACATCAATTTCATATCTTTTCTTTATTTTTTAATTGATATAATCCAGTGCATCAAGGCCATAGTTTGCCACCATTTTTCATTATGTTTTGATAAAATACTTGGTGTGTGCTTATATGTTGGGAGGCTTTATACCTCTCTAGTTCCGATTGAAGGCCGCTTGAAGAAACTACGAAAATACTTTGAATTTAAGTTCACTATATTTTCTTCATTTCTTGGATAGGTGGGCAATTGTGTATCTTGCTCAGATGAATCCACTCATTGTTCCCATTTTAAGTGAAGGAGAGTGAACATCAGCATGTCATGACTGCACATTACGGATGGTGAGCTTGAAGGGTGAAGAAATGAAGTGAGGGCTTCTTTGTTTTTATTGTTAGTTGTTGTGTACTTATGTTATGTCATTGTGTTTGAGATGAAGGAAAGGAAGGGTTATTATTCTTTTGAGAAATTTTTGTTGTAACTTGATTGCTTCATATCACAATAAAAGTATATATAAATGATAAATTAGTGTATTTGGTTACTTAAAAACTTTTACGGCTCGTTTAGTGAATGAAAGAGGTGTTTTTTTTAGTGTTATTGACTCTATTCAATAATGGCACTCTGTATTGTTTATAATTTTGTAATCTAATGACGTACAGTGAGCTAATGTCTCTGCAAAGAGCCAAGAGAGAAGCTTAGATATGAATTTTAATATCATTCGGCATATGGTTTTCTCTCAAATAATGTTATTTGATTTTCTTTTTGTAGCTTCTAATATTTTAGGCACTAAGTACATGTTTTTTTCCAATTAGAATTCCAAAGTTGGATGTTTCAAAAAGCAGGAAAAAAATGAGAAAATATTGTAAAATATTGGAAAAATTAAAGTGTTAAAAAATACTCATTTAAATAATCATCTAAATAAATATAAAAGAAAATCTTATATTTGGATTTCAAAAAAATTCATCTTTGTCCATATTTGAAATTGTATTATAAATTTGGATATATAATGTTAGTATTTATCATATTCATCCTTGCCCAGTGTCATATAATGACTTGGGTCATAGTTGGGACACCTACGGTGCTTCATTCCGAAAATTGACAGTTTCTATCTTTCCTAATCTCCGATAATCTTCCCACCCTCGACACAACCTCCCCCCCCTCACCCTTTCCATTACAGTACACAAATTTTAGTTGACAATTGAAGGGATGAGGGGGTGGGTTCCGGTTGGGCCAAGGTGGAGAGTTTACCAAGGGAGTTGGAGGAATAGAAATCGCCAATTTTTCAAATGGAGCACCGTAGAAACTCCAGGTCATTCCAATGACATTGATTCCCAGTGTCATGGGAACTATGCTGATTTATCATATATAAACACTTTTTAAGTTATAAACACTTTGTAAGAAGAAATTAGAGAATTGAAAAAAAAAAGTTGGACTAATTTAGAAGTTAATTTTTTAACACAAGAATATGCCTCAAATGTATTATCTCCTCCCAATGGTGATTAGTCACCTTGTGAATAATGATCCTTGAATTTATCTTTAATTTGATATATATATATATATATATATATATATATATATATATAATTAATTTAAAGTAAAATTTAATCACATTATATTCATTACATTTATTCAAAATATATACTCCGTATTTACGAATAACACACTTGTATAGTACTTCCTCCATCCAAATTTATAGTGCATGTTCACTATTTATAGAATCAAATCTCATTCACTTTTTTTTTTATTTTTGTTAGTAATTTTATAAAATAAAGTACTATTGTCACTACTAGTTTTGTAGATCTTTTGATGTAGTATTTTAATATGTAATTTTTAGAGTAAATTCCATAATTGGTCCTTTATAACATAGGGGTTTCCATATTTAGTCTTCTATTATCAAATATTACCCCCGTAGTCCTTTTTTTAAGGGTACCTTTTCACAAATGGTCCTTTTTTTGATCTTCTGCCGTGTTGGTGTTAATTTAAAGGCTAAAAGTATAATTTGACCTCAACATTATGTCTAGTGACGTGTTCTGATATTGGTTAAGCAGATAACACAAAAATAATGACTATGATTGTGGGCTAGGATTCTGACGAAAGATCACATTTGTAGACTATAGTTGTCATAAAAAGCGACTGTAATTCACAAACGACGCAAACGGAACAGCCTTTGGAATTGTGTATGACAAAAAAATATATTACCATTGTGAAATTACATTTTTAGCCCTCAAATTAACACCAACATGATAGAAGATCAAAAAAAGGACTATTTGTGAAAAAGTACCCATAAAAGAAGGACCACTTGGGTAATATTTGATAATAGAGGACTAAATAGGGAACCCTCTGTTATAAAGGACCAATTATAGAATTTACTCTAATTTTTATTTTTTAACTCTACACCATTTTTCATAGAAAAGTATTTGAAAATAAGTTCAGTCAAACATCATAAACCAAAACAAGCACTATAATTGGAGACGGAGGGAGTACTACGTATGTATTGTGATAAAATAATGTTGTTTTCTATATGACTGTTGTTTTTTAATTTAATATTCGTTTTGTGGTTCGTTTGTACTCATAACCTTTTGTTTTGTAATGTTTTTAGGGTTTTGGTTATGTTTTTCATTTTGTTCTTAAAAGATTTTTATTTCTTATTTTTTATTTTGATTTTTTCTTAAGCAAGGCTAATCTAAAAAATGAAAAAAGAATGGAGGTTCGTAGATAGTCATTTTAAAATTTTGAGTTTAAATTTTAAAATTAAAAATTCTAGGTTAAAAAATTTAAATCAAATAATCTCACCTTCATTTTTTGCACAAAATATAACGATTTTTTCAAAACTTGTAAGCTGATTGTTTAATCTTTAACGCTAATCCAAAACACACGTACACCAGTAAAGGTGAGCTTATTGCACATCATAATGAAAGATAAGATTATTTTTGGAAGACAAGTTAAAAGTGAGAATATTTATAGAAAATTAGTTATAGATGAATTATTTTTCTATTATATTTTTCTTTTATTCTGTTTTCCTATTACCCATTTTCTTTTTAATATCTCAAAAAGCTTTTTCTTTTTATTTTAGAAAATAAAAATAAAAATGTTTCAGTCAATTCAGAAGAAGCATATTCTAATACTTTTTCATATTATTTTTTTTTATTTAAAAAACACACACCTTTTATTTTTAAAACATTATAAAGAATATTTTTAAAAAAATAAAAAAAGAACTGGAAAATAAGATATTGGATCCCGACGGTCATTGTGGTTTGAAAATTAGGTATCAATGTCCCTTCTTCATTGGAAAAAATGAACAAAAACTGGTCGGAGGGGATGTTTGAGCATCATTTTAAAATCTTAGTGTTTTTTAGAAATGAATTTTGAAAAAAATATTCCCAAATAGGAGTAAAATATCGCATTTATCCTCAAAATAAAAGTTCAATATTTATATATTCAAAATAAGAATTTACGCTGTGATATAATTTCACTGGATAGTGGCATTCGAGTATATTTTTTGATACTATATCTTTACATTATACATCTATTTTAGACATAAAAACATAGAACATTTATATTCATACTTTCTCTATTTTTACTCATAGTTTATTTATTTTTCTTTTTGGAAACAAAAAAATATTAGTACATACTCCGTATTTTCTGAGCATATTATTCCTTCGTTACTTTTAATTTTTTAAGTCAAAATTAATAAATTCAAATTAAATAAAAATAATATTAGATGTTGATACAAAAATAATTTAATTAGATTTATTTTATGAAATATTTTTAAAATATTATTTTATCTAATTAATATTAGATATATATTTTATTTAAATTGAAAACATTTAACTAAAAAATCAAAACTATATAAACAACAATGACAGAGATACCTCAACCGAAATATTTAACCTAGCTTGGAACTACTCCGTGTTTTTTTTCGCCATTTCTGCGTGCTATTCTTTCTCGAAAGACTCGAATTGCGAGACCAATCTCATAAAAATTCCAATCTTTTTCCGCCCATTTTCGTAAACATTTCGCAGTAAGGGGGCTCCGGGAAGATTCCATAAATTTGAAAAATGGATCATTAATATCTTCTCTCTGTTTTAGGATTCGGAGATGGCGATGTTCGGATATGCAGGCCCTGCGGAGCTAGCTTCTTCTTCTTCTTCTTCTTCCCTAGGGTTTTGGAAGACCAGGGTTCCGTCTTCTTCGTTCATCCCTAGACGGTGGCGCATTTCTCCCGGCCCTGCGCCTGGAAGAAATGACATTTCAAAACAACTCCGCTTCTCCATCCGTAGTTCTTTCGTTCCCATGGACTCCGCCAAGATTAAGGTCGTCGGAGTTGGTGGCGGTGGCAACAATGCCGTCAATCGCATGATCTGCAGCGGCTTGCAGGTCTGCGGCTCAATTTTTTTTATTGCTTAGTGGCATCGACTACTCGTTATTAAATTCATTCGTCAATTTTGGCAAGCATTTCATGTTTTCACGCTCACAGGACTTGTATTTGTGGTGATAAAGAACATACATTTGGGGAAAATAGGCTTGGCTGGGTCACCCAAGGCCCAATGCAAATGTGAATTTATCAAGTAGATTACTGTCATATCATTTCTCTTGTTGGGGAACTTAATTGCCAATGCGAAATGTTGAATCGAGGATCCATATATATGAAATTTGGATTTGCTGTAAGGTTGTGATTGCCAATTTAGGGTTGCAGAAATATTTAATTTCAATTTATTCTGACTTTTGTATTTAGTTTCCCAAGCTTTTTTTGCAGTGTTTTAATCTTTTTTTTCTAATGTTCTGCTGCAAATGTTGGTTACGGGTGGTCAATTTGACCGATTGCTTGCTCAATTACAGGGAGTAGATTTTTATGCCATTAATACAGATGCTCAGGCACTGGTGCAGTCTGCTGCTGAAACCCCAATTCAAATTGGAGAACTTCTGACTCGCGGACTAGGTATTTACTCTCTATCTATACCTCTCATGCGAGAGACATTAATCTTGTAGAGCTGTACTTCTTTCGTGAGGCATTCTGTCTTCAAATAAACCTAGTACTACGTAAATAGTAATGTATAAATATGTATGCAAAGAACATTTTAAGATGATATACAATTGACCTAATGCTACATCCTTTTAAATTTCAATGCGTGTTTCCATGATGGCCTTAAACACTATGTTTGGTTTAAGGAATTTGGAAGGAAAAGAAAACAATTTTCTCATTTTCCTCACCAAAATGGAAGGAGTTTTCTTTTTTTCCTATTAGTAAATTTTGTCTTCTCATTTTTTTCCTTAAACTTTTCTTTTCCTCTCTATCCAAAAAAGAAAATCTGTTTTCCATCTCATTTTCTTTTCTTTTCCTTTTCAAACTCCTTGAACCAAACATTGTGCAAGACTGCAAGTCTTCTTCATTTTTTGAGAAAAATATGAACTCGTGGTAGGAATGCAGGTACGGGGGGCAATCCTCTTCTCGGGGAACAGGCAGCACTCCTTAGTTTCCTTCGGTAACGTTTACGAGAGTTCCCAAGTCTATACCACAAATATTGACGACCTTACCCACCACCATGCCCAAGACCACGACGTGGACAACAACGGGTTTAAAGTTTTCTACGACCAATAGAGTGACAACCCCATCAATGAATGGGTAAGTCGAAACTCCCCGCGTTTTCCAGGAATGTCCGTTCACTTTTTCTGATGTCAAAAACCTCAATTTAATTGCACTTAGCCTAAAATCAAAGGCAGAGCATTATATGCCCTCCAGTTAAAATTTTGAACACAACATGGTGTGGTTCAAGTTCACTATCGTGCATTCTCATGTTGGTTTATCTTGCATTTCTATTTTCCCAGGCTTTGGAAGCTATTGAAAAACTTCAGAAAAATGTTGATACTCTTATAGTGATCCCAAACGACCGTCTGCTTGACATTGCAGATGAGCAGACACCACTTCAGGATGCTTTTCTTCTTGCTGATGATGTGCTTCGTCAAGGTGTACAAGGAATTTCTGATATAATCACAGTAAGTGCTTTACTTGATATACTACCATGCGAAGTTATTTGTAGCATCTTTCAAATAAATCGTCTCCTAGAATAATTTATGGGGGCAAATGCATTGTTTTAAAAAAGAAAAGGTGGAGTTTTCAATGATAGTGTAGACCTAAAATTCAACAAGGTAAGAACAACGACCCTCATTCATCAAGAGTCTCATGCTTGCAGATACCTGGGCTTGTAAATGTGGATTTTGCTGATGTAAAAGCAGTCATGAAAAATTCTGGAACTGCCATGCTTGGAGTGGGAGTGTCATCTAGCAAAAATCGTGCCGAAGAAGCAGCCGAACAAGCAACTCTGGCCCCCTTAATGGGATCTTCTATCCAGTCTGCAACTGGAGTAGTTTATAACATCACAGGAGGCAAAGATATAACTCTACAAGAAGTCAACAGGGTCTCGCAGGTGCACCACAATTTCTTTTTCTTTTACTTTGTACGGAGTATTTGTTTTTTATTATGAAGTTGGAGACATGACTTACTTTATCCAAAAAAGCATAGCTGGAAGCTCTCTATGAAACATACTAGACCTAGCAAACTCATTGTGTCGGGTTTGTCTTCAGGTTCCCCTAAGGGCCCTATCACTAACCCAACATGTTTGTTAAACATGTTGAAAGTTTCAGCCCGACCTGTTTAAAAGATAAACGAATCAATCTGGAACCAACTTGTTAACCCATTTAGTTAAACCGGTTGAGCTCGGGTACTAATTCTTATGGCGTGTTTCATTGATTTACCAATGTGTTTTCAATATTTATACTTCGTATATTAACAACCCAAGTAACAAGCTCCGTCGACCGAACTCAACATTTTCGCCTACTAGACACTAGGTATCAATTCAAGCTCAAAATTTGCCATGCCTATGACCCAATAGGGCACAAAATAACAAACCCACACAACCATATTGTCTAAAGTTGAAAGTCTAGTACAAAGACCCCATTTTTTGGGTTTTTATTGGGCCTGTTGGATTCTCGGGCTATCTGTTTAACCCATTTGGCTAAACAGGTTGAATACCTTTATATCAAGTTGAGTTGTTCAACTTGAACCTCACCCATTTATTCAATTGGGTTTCCCGTGTCACCCATTTAATTAAACGGGTTAAGAAGTGGTACCCAAACCCTTCAATTTGTTTATCAGGTTTTGGTCAGTACTTGTGTCGGTGTCAGCTTTGCCCAGGCCTAAAACATACTCTAGAATCACACATCGGTTTAAAATTTGTCAATATCCCAGAGAGTAAATACACCAATACAATGTGCTACCAATTGAAGCATCACAAAAACAGCAGTAAATAGACAAGGACTAAATATCTTCAATTTGTGCACAAGATTGTGCCTATAATTTATTCTTATCACTATACTTTTTCAAACCTCTCTATTCTGACTAGGTTGTTACTAGCTTGGCTGATCCATCAGCTAACATTATATTCGGAGCCGTGGTGGATGAACGGTACAATGGGGAGATCCATGTGACAATGATTGCCACCGGGTTTGCGCAGTCATTTCAGAAAACACTTCTTACGGATCCCAGAGGAGGAGCAAAGGCGGCTGAGAAGGGTGGTGGAGGAAGCCAAGAGAGTGGGCCGCCACTGGTTACTCCAAGGTCCCCATCTATCCCCTTACCTTCTTCTTCTTCTAATTCACAGCCTCCTCTTCGGAAGCTTTTCTTCTAGCCTTAGCTATTTCTAATTCTCAGATTTTTGCTTCTTTTTTTTCCTCATGTCGGGGTAAGATGCTACTGATCATTTATTAATATACCACAAGATATGCACCATTAAATCTTACGGAGTACTTGAGGTTTCGTTAGTCTGTCTGATGAGGTCCAAAAGAATAAAATTATATTCTTCTTAAATCCCAAAAAATTGTTACACTTGATCCAACAAAGTAATTAAGATTAATACAGAGGAAAAGATATATACTGACTGTCTTAATTTATGTTGCATGTTAATTATGCGCATGACTAAATTTTAACTATTTTCTTTCTCCATCTTTATTATTTATTTGATAAAATAATTCAGTATAATATTGTTACCTCTTCATTTGCAGGTTTTCGTTCGGTTACGATATTTGACTGAATTTATTTTCAAATTAAGTAAAAATTTATGTAGAATTGAAAAATAAAAATTACATATTAAAAAAACTATATCAAATTTTTTATACAAGTGCTGATAGTATTATTTTATTTTACCAAATGATCAATTAAAATGTATAAACAAAATTTGACATATGAATTGTAATTAAGAGTCTTTTTTGGGATGGGAGTAAATTTGATAAACATAAATTGACAGCTAAAACTAGAATTGAGGGAGTAAGGCCTTGTTTCTTCAACTTAATTTTATTACTTATTCTTATTAAAATTAGTTTAGACTTGATCAAATCAAAAAAATTTAAAATTTAACTATATTAAATCAAATTAGATTAAATTTTAATAAAATCAAATTAGATTTTAATAAATAAAATTAAATTTAATCAATCAAATGAAGAGAAATTCTAGATCGCATAATTTAAATCTGGAAAGAAAGTGAAATATGATTTTGAAACTTCTAATATAAATGGGAATGTGGATATTATTAAAAAAGAATTGATTTCATTATCACGTGTTCATATTTCTCTATTTAGCGGTTGCTGTGGTCACATTCCTCTTATTGTGGAGGCATTGGCTTCTAAAGAAATTCTCTGTTGGTTGTTGGATAGAGGGATTCTTTACTTAGTGCTTCACTCGAACTATCTTCGTGTGATCCAAGTAATTAACGAGGATGACACTGTTTCGATGACTACATTTAGGAAATTAATTGAGGATTGTAGGGCTCTAATGACTCTCTTTTGATTTTGTTTCTTGTACATTTATTTGTTCCTTGTTCCTCTAACAATACTGCTCATGAACTTGCTAGACATGTGAAGGATCTACCCATGTGTTGGGAGACAATCCTTCCAAGTTTTTGTACTGGTTGATTTATTTGGCTAATGAAGTTTTGTCTCTTTCCAAAAAAAAAAAAAAAAAAAAAGAGTTCACAATGTTGCTGTAAACTCTTGTTCTTTTTCACGAAATTGCAAAGAGTCATACAAGAGCACTAACAACTTGTGATACATTTATTTCTTGAAAACGCTTCCAGCTTCTTCTAAGCAACGATAATAGTTGGGTCAGGATAAAAATGTACCCAGTAGAATTTTTTTAATTGTGCAATATATTGAATAAATATTACTCCTCCCATCACAAAATCTTTGTTTAATTTGATTTTTTCAAGTCAAACTATCCAAACTTTGATAATCACTTAAACAAAACTTATACGGTATTAGATATTTCTACAAAAAAAAAAAGTTTTAATAGACTTATCTTACAAAGTACTATCAAAATTTTATTTTATTATACTCCATATTAATATGCAATGCAAATTAAATATAATTGAAAATTGAAGTTTATCCAGTTCAACTCGAAAAAAATTAAACTGGACAAATATTCTAAGATAAAAGGAGTATATGATAGCAGGCAATTGAGGAATTTGTAATTACAGAATATTTGACAATTTTCAATATAATGCGTACATAAATTTACAAGAAAAATATTCATATTAAATAATAGAATAATATTAGTATAAATGATGGTATAATGGTACCTGTAAGATAATGCTTGAACCAAACAGCAAGATAATGCTTGAAATCGATAATGATTGATATTAGTATCTTCTCCATCTCATATTCTTTTTCTTTTTCTTCCAAATTCTTGAACCAAACAGTGTAAAAGAAAAAATAAAATAAAAGATTAAAAGAGATGTAATTAGTGGGTCATAGGAAGAGGGACAACTGCGGTGCAAGGGTGAAGGGTGAGATGCTGTCACCGAAGCAGTCGAACAGAAAAGGCATCAGATGCGCAATGTCGATGTCGCCCTTCTTCAGCAAGCCTTGATGATGATGATGATGATCGCCCTTTGAAGCTTGACTACTGGTATTATGCTGTCTTCGTCTGTTGACTCTTGGCAAGCTCTCACCTGGCGGCGAAGTGGGCGCGGGGGAATCAGTGGGGCCCGCTTGCAATGATGTTCCTCCATCGGTTATCAACTTCTTTGCTGGTGGTTGTTGTGGCATCGTCATGTTCTCCCCCATTCTACGCTTACCTTCACATTCAATTATGAAGGAAAAAAATTAGTCTATGATGTGCCTCTAAATGCATGCATGCATGCATTCCAACATTGATATAGAGAGAGAGAGAGAGGGAGCGAGGGGCGGGGGTAGAAAAAAACTAAACGGCAAAGAAATCCCAAGTATAGAAAGAAAGTTTTCATACAATCTACGTCCCACTATTTTTGTCCATTTTTATGTTTGTCCTTCCCACAATTTCTGTTACATACCATATTTGGTGATGTTTGTGTTCATTTTTAGGATCAATATCCACCAAAAAAGCTTATTTTTCTTAATTTCCGTGACACTCCCTCATGTCCAAGGAATAGTGGGATGGAGGGAGTATTGGAGTAAGATATATGAGGGGGCACAAAATGCAGAATTAGCATGGAAGCAGAATAAAACAACAAAGATGCAATATTTAATCTAGCGGGATTATCACAAGTGATCCCAAATCCCAATAGTACACTATGGAGGGTTGTGTTAAAGCTTATTCCATCTGCATGTCTTCCAAAGATAATATGAATACACTCCTCTGAAGTAATAAAAGAGTATCCTTTTCTAAACTGATTATTGAACAGAGGAAACTACCCCTGTGCTGGAGGGAGTTTCCACCTTGGGAGGGCACACACATTAAGCAGAACAATGTTATTTATTGAAATGGACACTTTTGCCCTTTGGAAAGAGTGGTACAAAGACCTAAATCAAGATCAAAAGGTTAAGAAGGCTAACTTCATCATTTCAGAATTATCAATGGGCGATTGAGCGATTCCCAATAGTTGTCTTATTAAAATTAAAAGAACCGTACTCAAGTGAAACATAACTTTTTTTATGATGGAGATAGTATATTGCATGCTTATTTAAGCCCATAATCCATAAAACATTACTTAACAGAGCTTAGGTACACATTATTCAAATCATGTACAGACATAAAAAGTGAACACATACATACCTGACATTGAAGTGCCTAAAACTTTCATCCTACTCTTCAGAACAGCATGTGCAGGCGAGGGCAGTAAAGTAAAGTTAAGCTGATCATAGATACATAAGCCAGCTGCACCCTGTAATGGACATGCCAAATTTGTGAAATTGCACAAACCTATGTATGATTTCAAGTGTTTGTCTCCAGTGGTGGATCCAGAGCTTTAGCAATGGGGGCACTTGGCCCCAATCAATTTTTTTAATTAGTTTAATTAATACTTCTAAATCACCCTAAAAATTCAAATTGCCCCAAATAAAAAAATTATTTACCTCCGATAAAAGGAAATTTCCAAGTAGAAAACTTGGAATATTTAACGTTAAAATAATACTCCGTAATATTTAAAAGTGAGATATTCAAAATTACATGAATACAAATTGAAAGTAAAAAATTACGAGAGTAAAATTATAGGGATTATTTTCGAGGCTTTCATTAATTATTTGAATCACATTGCTTCTTTAAAAAAAACATGAAGGCAATAAGGCATAAACGAAACTCTTTAATAAATATCACAACATACCACCAAAGCACCATGCACTCTCCAAGCTTCATGCCTCTTCATCTCATTCTTTTGGCTCTCTAGCTGCATTTCTGGCTCCAGTAGTTTTATATAAGCCTCAAGACTCGGTAGTAAAAGTAAACGTACCTATCCCAATGCAAAATATCACAGTTTGCACGTGTACCACAATCTAAGGGTAGGGGAAAGGAATGTAGGGAGTGCAAGATGTTACCACACTGGGTCCAAGGGCAGTTAGCCCTTGTACTGCACCATAATGCTGAGGTAGTGCCTTTGCTGGATCGAGAAATGCATTCAGCAAAGTACGTGTCACCTTGAGCTGGAGAGTGTGGTACACTTGACCATACCTACAAAGCTGAAGCTTTCAGGATAAAGATACCACCAAACAAAATTATACTTGAAAAAAAGAAAGATTGCCAGAAAGTAGACCATACTGTTTCTAGATTCTTTTCATTTCTTTGGAAAAGGCCTCCCCCCTTAAAGGGATGAATTCATTTTCTGTCATGGACCTAATATTTAATTACGAGTGGTTATTATTATTATTATTATTTCATAATTAATTAGTTATGGAGTATTATTATTATCAAATTATTATTATATACAGAGTAATAATAAGCATTAAGCATTAGTTTCTTATTATATTATCATCATTATTATAAATGACTAATAGTTTCCTACTGGAAATTTTCATATTATCATTAGCATCCAATTTTAGTCAATATAAACTCTGCATACCCTACTCTTGTATGATTCTACCGGGTTGTATTCTTGATATTATTGTATAATGTTAGGACGATTACTTGCTCACCAAGACTATGAAGGGGTTATATTCATTAATAAATCCATGCAATTAAACAAATTTTCCTAATTAGTCACGGACTTTAGGATACAAAGTTCTTCCTCTTCTAGCCACAGGTAAGAGAGGGGTTCTTCATCTATCTCAGGGATGAGGGGTCTCACTGTGTCTCTAGCATTTCCTAGTTGCTATAGAAAATGATCGATGTGAAAATTGTGCCACACAAACAAATAATTGTTCTATATAGGGTCATATTATATTAAATCGCAAAAGCAGACAGTAAAAGAGATTCATTCTCAACAGAATTGCATAGAAAATGAAAAGAAATTCTATAAGGAATTTTTCTACAAAAAAGTTGATATAATACTGCATACATTATTTAACTAACAAAACCAAAAGGTAACATTTTCTACATGATTGCAGAGAGAAATTTATTACTCCGCCAAGTATTTTCCTTCCAGAAGGTGTTCTGTCCTCAAACACAAGCAAATACGAAAAACTTTTTCTAGTAAGATATTTCAGTGAAACGAGCTGTGCCTAAGAGATTCTAGGATCCTAAAACAATTAACATCTATAAATATGACCAAAAAAAGAAATATAAAAAAATGGTGCCCAACGAATCAAGAATATTCAAACAATGAAAATATATAAATATAACCAAAATGATTGCAAACATGCCAATTACCACTACAGAGTAAGGGTATCGCATTCATGTCAACAAACCGAGTGTTCAAGAGACCACAAAACCTTAATTCTTCCCAATGGGTATTGCTTATTCAAATGCAAAGAATTAAATTAAACATACCTAAAGTCAAATTTTAAAACACATCCCATATAAGTTGGGGCAAAGGAGTATTATGTGGTTGATATGTGCGAATTGAATATGAGATTGTGGATTCAAAATTATTAGAATGAGTGATAGTAGATTTGCATTTCAATTTTCAAATAGTGAGAATTGCTTAGGGGAAATTTCTAGATTTATTAAAGTGGTGTACTTTACCATTACTTAAACATTAGTTTAAAATGACTGCACACGAACTCAGCTTTAAGCCATCTACAAAGGGTCATGCTAGGGTGCCCCCAAATGGTTGCTACCAGGGGTGCACCCATGCTTCGCACAGATGACACCGTTGGTAGCAACCATTTGGGGGCACCCTAGCATTTTTCATCTACAAAACCTAGCCTCATGGTTGTTTCTACTTTAAGTGTATTTGATGTTTATACTCCCTCCGTCCCAAATTAAACTTCCCGTTTGTTTTTTCCCCACAGAGCTTAAAGAAAAATGAAATGTTTTAAATGAAATTGTTTGATTGAAATAAAAATGGATGTTTATTTCATCCATCCATACATTATCAACAATTTCCTTCCAACAAAAACAATATGTGGTCCATATTGTATGTATCTTTTCTATATCAGTCACAATTATCATTTTCATGGATCTAGTGCCCGGTTAAAGTAGGCAATAACTAAAGGACACTGGGACAGAGGGGTAACAGAATGTGAAGTACATAGAAACTCGCAATTTTGCATTTAAAGACAACAGGTAATGCATAGAGCTCATACAAATAGAGTAGAAGGTAGCTTAACATGGTCCGTAGAGTAGGACTAAGATACTTGATGGTATCATGTAACATAAACCAGAAATTAGGAAAGACCTTCATTATTTATTTAGCACAGAAACGAAGTCGCACTAACCGTCTAACCCTATGTTTGGTTGCATGTAAAGTGGGAGGTTGAAAGTTACCAGTGGAAATAAATCAGGAGAGAGTATTTGGTAACGAGGAAAAATGCCAATATCTGGTGGTTTGTACACTTGTACCTACTTTCAACTCAAATTAAACATGAAAAGCAACAAAAACGCAAAGAGAATTTGTTCTTCCAAGTTCCAAGATGACAGAACATAGCCCCTATGCATTACCCATAAATTACTCTGTGTGAAGTGTTTCCCATGCGCTTCCCGCAAACGAGTTTGAACATCTATCCTTTTTCTACTCTTACCCTTCAAGCAAAAACTTCACTTTCCACCCTCTTTGATCTCAATTTATTTCCTTCTCGTTCTCTTTCTTTTTTCCTCACATTTCTTTCAACAACAAAAAATATGTAACTCATTTTCTTTAAGCACAGATGAACACAGCCTAAGTAACACCATTAAAGTGAGCTAAGTAGCTAACTTTTGAGTACAAAATAACAAAAGGAGAAATTCCTCAGAACTAAGTAAAAAATAGCAAAAGGAGTTCTTAAAAGCTAACTACAAAATATCAAAAGGAGAAGTTCCTAAGAGCTAACTACAAAATAGCAAAAGGAGAAGCTCCTAAGATTACACAAATCCATATAATATCACATAATTATAAGAGATGCCTAACTGTATAAATACCATGTTCTCTTCATGTGTTCAATCAAGCTCGAATACATGCAGAAAAAGAGAATCACCTTTTGCAAACCAAAGCAACCAACTTGGCTGTGAAGTCTCTAAGCTCCCAGTGATTGTCCGAAAATTTATTACCCAGTCTTTTTGCAACAAGGCAAGTCATTACAGGTGGCATCAACTCGTGCAGCTATAAATGATCAAGTAAAGCAAAGGAGAAAAAGACTATCATCACATAAGACAACTTCAAATCCAAATCCAAATGCCCTCCCTACTATGGATTAGTAAGCAGCATATAACTAAGTGTCCTTTTCCTTCAAGAATGAGTTTCAGAACTCAAAATTCACTGGGATTGCAATGTAAAGAAGTTCCAAAAGATAAGACATGTTCTCTAAATTTGACATTACAGTTGTGGACTACATAATAAATAAATCACTGAGTTATATTTAAGGAAATAGTTGAAGCATGCTTGTCATCTCAACAAGTCAAGCTGCATTGACAGCAAACCGACAGGTGGACAATTAGTCGATAAGTCAACAACAAGTCAACAACACACCCATAAAATCCCACAGGGGGGTTCGGAAGGGTGCTTGTAAGTAGACCTTATCCCTACCTGCAAAGTATAATGTAGTTTCTAAGAGACCATGGCTCAAAACACTAGAACACAACGGCAAAAGAAAGAACCACAAACAAAAAAGCACACATGCAAATACTACGAAGTACAAACGGTGGGACAAAAGCTGTAAAGCACACACAAAATTGAAATACTACGTAACTCATTTCTAATAACCTCTTTCCAACTCTTCTTACATCTACCACCCTAATCCTAGACTACCGCCCTAAACCTAGACTTCCATAAACTCCCACCTAAGGCAATATCCTCATTCAAATTTGAAATAACTCATTTCTAATAACCTCTTTCCAACTCTTATTACATCTACCCTTACCCTTCCTCAAGCTCTTTATCTAAAGCCTCTCGCACCTCCTCGCTGAGCATCCTAATCACCTCCTCACCTCTTTCCCCTAGGGTTGATTGGAGGATACTAATTAAAACTTAGTTAGAAAATTAGGAAGAAACTTCCCAAATTACCAATTTATCCAGGTATGGTCGACCATGTCCCATTTGCAGTCCACATGATCAACCATGGGTGCCCAGTGAACTAACTCTACTCGGGATCTAAGAGCCAGACGATTGTTAGGTAGGGTCGGTCAAATGCCTCGACCGGGTAGTTGGTTCCTTGACATGGTATTGGAGTCTGGCTAACCAAGAGATCACGAGTTCAAACCTCACCACCACACAGTTTTTACAAAAATTAATATTCACAGCAAGGCTTGAGCAAACACAAATCTCGGCTACACATGAGGGGGCATGTTAGAGTATAAAACCTTTTCCTGGGCCTACAACCACAAGCTTGAGCTTTTTCTTGGCTCTCTCTCTCTCTCTCTCTCTCTCTCAACAAAGTGACAAAAGGGGAGAACATAATCTCTCTACCAATGCTAGTTTTCAAAATGGGTCAAGTCAATTGAAAAGTTCTTACAAAATTTTATAGTCATTGTCAATAAGTAATCTCCTAGTCATCGACCGAACAACCAAACTTCAGAAAAAGCCGGAAGCAAGCTCTAGTTGTTCCAACGAGACACGTAGTTGGTGACTTAACAATCATGGGTTGGAGTATAACGCGTTGTCTTGTGGTAAGGTCCTCTATCTAGGCCATATACTTCGTTACAAATCAGACCCCTCTAATGCCCCCCCCCCCCCATGAGAAAAAGAACCGGGTAGAATCATCTAAGACATTCAAACATTAGTATGAGAAGTTAACTATCTGATTTCAAGGCATGACTGTATTGGACTTACATATGGTTCTATATGAATGTGAGGGTTCTGAAGAAGGCTCCAAACAAGCCGCATCAAAGCAAACAAAAGTGATAAGTTATTCAAGTTCCTTGAGACCTGATTATATGATAAAAATTCTTCAGTTTTATAAATCTTGAAAGACTTTTACACTGATCCAGAAACAAGTACTCCATAATAATTACCTCGTCAACAATAAAAAATGTGAAGTAAGGAACTAAAGGATGAAGCCCAGAATCGGTTGCCAAACTCTCTAGTGCTCCTTTCATGAGTATAGAGTTGGGCTTATTCACTGCCAAATCTGTAATTTTTTCATAGTATAGCTGCACGGTCATAAATAAAACTTTAGAGGCAGATGTTTAACAGTAAAACAAAATGAATACACTTCCACCAACAAGTTCCAACAATACCTGAAGTTCACGGGATAGAACATGCTTTACAGGTAACTTGAGGTCAATTGAACCTCCATCTTCTTTATACACCATCGCTTTATTGTCCTGGGGTGCTGTAAGTGCTACAAGAATGAAACCATCAGAGTGAAATATGAATGAATCTCAGCGATATTTACAACACGGATTTAGGAGAGCATTATGAGATATGGAGTATGTTTTAACTCTACCTTCTTGAGGAGGATTTTCAGGAATAGCAGGTTGCACTCCTTCTATAGCTAACCAATGAGATACTAATGCAGTATCTAATGGAGCTTTTGGCAGAGGAGCCTCAATCACCTATAATACAGGCACATTGCAACATTGTAAATAGACAGAAGTACAGTTACAGTTAGTCACAAGAAAAGGGACATAGATTAGAATTTTCCTACATCCTTGAAATCTAAATCCTTCTCTTCAATGTAGAACAAATCCTTATGTCCCACAGCTCTCTTGAATTGCAAATGATCCCCAGACGCAAACCCATATATAGGCTGAAATATTAAGCATATAATTAATCGGACATCCATTGAGGAAGATCATATAGGCATGTACACTATTTGTTGAAAAATAGAAAAAAAAAATTCCATTTCATGAATTAAGAATATAGAAGAAATTTCTGATTCAACTACAAAAATAAAATAAAATTGTACAAAAATGATAGAAGATTTTATTTTTTTGAATTAGTCAAGGAAATGGTCATGTTTCTTGATTTGCAAGTTAATTTAACAATACCAATCATATAAAGGACATGGCGGCCATAGAAACTGTCTCAAATCATGACTGTCTTATGATATAGAATTAACCGATGAGGATGACAGTTTAGAATTACATCTCATTATTCCTTCATATGAATGTGGCTATAGAAAGAGAATTTGGCATAAAACATTGCCACTATTATGGCTGTAAACAGATATTAATCGGATCGAATGTGCCATTACCAAATCCGTATCCGTTTATTTTTGTCGGATATCGAATTCGGATACGGATCTTGACGGATACTGAAAATCAAAACCGTATCCGCATCCGTCGGATATCGGTCGGATATCGGATATATTCGTATCCGTTTCTAATTTTTAAAATCAAATTAAACAATACTTTAATTTTAAATTAGATTAAAGTCAAACTATTATTAAATCAACTATAATTTGGTATGGGATAACTATTTTCTTTGTTTTCATGATTTATGATATTCTACGATAACTTCATATGATAAAAAGATATACACAACACACATATACACATATTTTTATATGTCTGTACATATTTTATGTGTCTACACATTTATTTTGTATATAAAAAATTTTATATTTTGAAATATCAATAGAGAAACAAAATATAAACATAAAAAATTAGGAAAAACTATATATAACGGATCGGATATTTGGATAAACGGTTATTTAAACGGATGCATATTCGGATCGGATTTTAAACGGATCGGATATACAATTACCAAATCCGTATCCGTTTAGTAATCGGATATCCTTAATCGGATACGGATAATATCCGTTTAAAACGGATGCGGATATTTCCTCTTTAAACGAATTCGGATGCGGACGGTAATCGGATTTTCGGCTATCCGTTGACAGCCCTAGCCACTATGCTTCTATGATTTTCTGCATGAATTTATAGTGCTAACCTGTTTTAGGCAATTATTTAGCACTAAAACTTTCATGCCACTGAGGCACTGACCCCAACTATGTGGGATTAAGAAGTTGATAATGAGATGATCAGCTGGTCAAGGGACACATCACTATGGGCACATTGACATTCCACCTGTGAAGTGACTCAGTTGCACGTGAACTATACAGTAGGCGATGATTTTTTTAATCACGTGTACAATATTGGCCAGTGCTATACAAGCTCTCTAAGCAGTTGCGTTCTCCAACTTGAACAGTATATAGATCTGGAAGATCATATGCATATGAACATATCTGACTGAACATTAATGCACTATAATGTGAACATCAAGACCCTTTCATTAATTCATTGGAGCTTTCATGTTTTTCGATTGCTGATAAAGGTACGCAATTTTTAAAGACTTCCTGGAATAGTGTTTTGTAATCTTAAGCATACATATTCCTTTGTAATTGAATGATAAATATCATCATTATGTTTATGAACAGCTTTTCTGAATCCCCCACAGTATGACAATTGTATTATTAATTGGCCAGTGGGAAATCCAAGAGGGTACCTCAACATTTCGTAATTTAAGCGCTCCATCCACATCATCAGCAGTTAAGATCGTCCGCTTTGAATGTCTCATGCATTTTATGGACTCCTAGATTTTCAAAACATGAAACTTTTTTGTTAATTGATAACTTTTCAGAGCATGATTTTAAAATGATTTCTTTTTCTTTAGTTCTACACAAAATTACCCCGAATTGAAAAACAAAAAATCAGTATGAAACATACCGGAAGAATTATACCTGCATTATTTCTCGGAGACGATATTCAACATCGCCTGCAAGTTCCACCTGGACTTCTGAAGACAAATTGCTTATTCCGATGCTCTGTGCCACCACCTCTATTGTCTCTTTCGGAACTATGCTCATTATTACACGGAAACTTCACACTTCTTTGGATACTTTCCAGTTAAACTAGCAGAAAATGAATTGCACCATGAGAGGACCCGTGAGTGCTTTGATGTCAACTGTAAACATACAATGAATTAGGTACTGACTATGTTTGGCCCCTAAATTTAAATTTACTAATTTTTCTAATATAATCTCACCAAGCACAATTTAATCTAATCAATCTTCCTTGATAAAAATAATTGTCTCAGTTATAAAGCATTTAAAAAAGATCAAAAATTAAGGAAGTAAGAATCAAAGATCATACCAACTGCCAGGGTCACTGTGTTTTCTCCAGTCACCCGTTCACTCACTCAAAGAGGGAGAGGAGTTTGTAGCTAACACGGACGCAGAGTGCCAAAAACCAGGTTGAGAAGCAAGGGTAAAGGAAAAGGAGTTTATTTTTGTTCTACGTTTGGAGGTGTAGGTCGGAACTGTAACATAAAAGGGCCCTGTGCAAAAAAATGGCCTTGTTGTATCTAATAAATGCCAAACTTAAGTTTCATACTAATTATTAGATTTGTTACAATAAAGTAGAAAACATGAATACAAGTTTACCTAAAAAGAGACGTCATCATTGTATATTTTGATGTGAAATCATCAATCAAACTATACAATTATATTTCTTCCAGACTCTCACATTCAATTGATATCAAGACTGATTCGTTCAGTCTCTCTTGCCACATAGTTGAACTCTAAATCCCTAATTAGTAATCGACCTCACCTCACCATATAGTTTCCAATTTGACAGTTTCCATCATTCCATGAACCATTTGAACCAATTAGCAACAATATTTGTTTTTTTAAAGAGGAAAAATCAAAACAAAACTGCTTTTTTATATCAAATTGCAATTCATTCGTCATTCTAAATAAAAATAAAAAATTCAAATTCAAATGAGAAGAAATCACACAAATCAGAAAATTAAAATTTAAAAAAAACAATAAAATATCTAAAGGATGAAAAGAGAAATAGAATTAGGGACTTCATAAATGATAAAATCATACCTGGTGGTGGAGCCGTGGAGCAGTGCGGTGCGTCTTCGGCTTCGCTCGAAGAATCGGAGGCCGCGACTCCGTTGGTCGCGAATCGCGATTCACTTCTTCGGTATTGCGCAGAGCCGCTGATGCCTTCAGACTGATTCTTGAGTTAACTCAGTTAAGATAGGGAGCAATGGGAGAGGTGTTTAAGTGTTTTGTTATTTGTAAAATTTTTCAATAAAATTTACGTTCAAAAAATGAGCATGGGGTACAACAAATTCAAATGTACACCACTCCTTTCTTCATCACATATTTTTATTTAATTTTTATTTACTTATTTTTTTTAAATTTTTTGTCTTTTTTAGTGGACAATGAGGGGGTGGGGGACATATGGCTGACCGCCTTGCTAAAATTGGAACCTTCCAATAGGTAAATTGAATTGACCACAATGACCCTCCGCCTGGGATGGAAGACATCATTGTTAATGACATGATGGGTGCTACCAGAGTTCGTGCATTTGAGTTTATCTAGGGTCTCCCCTCATTTTGGATTAAAAAAAATTATACAACCTAAATGTAGAGGATGGGCATATTTCTGATTTTTGGGCCTGGTAAAGATTTAATCAGTTGCATTTTTCAAAAATCCCATTATTTTTTTAACAAATTTTGACAGTTTTAGGATGCAGTTATGCTTTACATAAAATTTCAGTTTCAGCACAAAAATTTAATAATATAATTTTTCAAAATTCACTTTGAATCACTTTGAATTTAAAAATTTAATTTAACATTAGTAATAATAAATATAATAAAATATAATCCAAGTTAATTTATTTAGAAAAATATAAAAAGTAAAATATCTGTTGATTTTCTTCATAAATTGTTAGTGGTGAACCGGGGGTCTTATCAAGTTGATAATTTAGTGGCGGATGTGCGGAGGAAAATGCAAGGGAAATAGTGGGCGAAAGTATGGAGGGTGTTTTAGGAGTTCTTTTTTTGGTATTTTATGGAAGAAAATGAATAGGATTAAGAAGGAGAAATGGAGGGATATGAAATGGAAGAAATATCACGGATGGATAAAACCAAGTTGGTGTTAGGAGATATTACACACTCTTATCCTAACTTGGGGTTTGAATCTAGAATTCAATTAAGATACTATACACTTAATCAAATATCTAGAACCTAACACTCACACTTAAGATAACCACTCTTAAGATATAGAATTAGAAATTTGGCTAAAATAACATCACACTATTTTAATAATACTCAAAGAGTAAATGGTTTTCAATATTCAAAGATTGTGGTTACAATGGCCATAGGGCCTGATTATATAGGGAGAGGGGAAGGGGGAAATACATAGTACAAAACATGAGGAAACTT